GAAGGAAGGAAGGAAGGAAGGAAGGAAGGAAGGAAGGAAGGAAGGAAGGAAGGAAGGAAGGAAGGAAGGAAGGAAGGAAGGAAGGAAGGAAGGAAGGAAGGAAGGAAGGAAGGAAGGAAGGAAGGAAGGAAGGAAGGAAGGAAGGAAGGAAGGAAGGAAGGAAGTAGATGAAGGCGGATTGCCGAGAAACTGGTTGTGCGAGCAGCGATGTTTTTCAATCACGTGGTTAAATGCGGAGCAAATGCGAGGCAGACGTAAAATTATTGTCGCAAAGAGACAATTCGCACTTCTAGGAAACCGGACCCGACGTTAAGTGATCAGACCGAATTAGGACGCTTACGTCACCAGATGAATTTAAGAAGGTAAGACTAGATTAAATACGGGAAGCTTTTGATGCCTTACGATCCAGAATCTGTTACATTCAACTTTTCTGGCCAAAAAAAATAAAATATTGAAATACGCAAGACTAAATTTATCTGCTGTTGCATCTAAAGCGAAGGCGACTCTGAAATATCTTAATTTTCGTTCCACTGCTAACAGTTGGCAGCATTGAAAGTTGTGAGCCGACGTTTCGAAACACTGCTCGAGGTGACGTCCGAACGAAAGGCTTGTAGAAGGGGCTGAGGTTCAGAGGCGTCTGTTTGCTCACTGCAGGGGGAGGAAGGTCTCGATGACGCCCGTACCAAAGAAACTCTTCATGAACTGATCCATGTAGGAGGGGTCAGAGAAGTTCATTTTTTGATTGCAAAAACGGAAGTTACGGCGAGGGGAGACGATGTGACGAAGATTCACAACTCAAAATGTTTCAGAAGAATAATCGCAGATGCGTTTTGATTGAGTTTGGGCGAGAAAATTGGGTTACAAGCGACAGGAAGGTAACGCGACGCTGGACAATGTCGTAATGAAGACCTTGTCGCTTGCAGGGACCGAGGCTTCACGGCAACCGCGTCATCGCGATCAGATGAAACGCAGGTCCAAATTAGCCAAGCGCTGTTAGCCACCCAGGCAACGGTTAACGCTAGCTCGCTCGTTGGAGCATGCGCATTTAGAGAACGGGCTTCGTGACCTTCCAAGGTCAGATGTCAGTCGAGTTCCTAGGTTTTGGCAGTCGAGGCGCTGTGGTGGCAAGCCCCAGCTCGGGCTGAAGAATGCAGCGCTGTCATGTCTTCATTTGAACGCTTGCAGACGCAGTGTCCGACTGTAAGGGCGCGTACCAGTGTGTGTCTGTCGTCTGTCAGTGCACGTGGATGTCGGCCAATGCTGTTTCGAGGTGGAGAGAGAGGGGGGGGGGGTTGTTAAGTTTCTGTGGCACACGTTTCATTTTTAAACGACGTAAACAGAAGATAATATTAAAATTACTGCTATTGTGTCATTCTGAC